GCGCAGGCTCAGCGGCCATGGCTCACGGGCCCAGCCGCTCCGTGGTACGTGGGATCCTCCCGGACCGGGGCACGAACCCGCGTCCCTTGCATCAGCAGGCGGACTCCCAACCACTGCGCCACCAGGGAAGCCCCATATTGTTTCTCTTTTAAATGTGAAGCCAACATGGCCACAGCGTCAAGATAAGACGAAGCTGGGTGACAGCCTTTGTTAGCATTTTGTGAATGCCTGGGATAGCTCAGATCCAAAAAAGCGATAAAGCGAGAGCAGATGGAAGAGAGAGGAGGAACGAGAGCTGCTTCTCCTTTTTATGGAGAGCCCCAGGCCCCAGAAAGATCTAGAAAGCATCTGTCACAAGACCCTGGAACACGGGATCCTGGCCTATCTAGATTCCAGGTGCGCTGCCCTGGACCAGGCAGCTTTGTGAGAGCCGCCAGCTGCATGTGGGTTCTCCCCTCCTCCCTGCCCCACGCTTTGGGTGTGGCCCAAGTTCTGTAAACGTCGGACCAGAAGTAGAGCCAGGAGGTGGGTGTCTCCTGAACAGGGCTCTCCAAACGGGATCTGCGGGTGAATGTCCAGTGGGAGGCTCCAGCCTGTGAGAATCTGTTATCCATGTGTTTTCATTCAGACGGTCACAGCGGACCAATGGATGAGGGGGACTTTCCGGGGAGAGGGCAAGGCTCTGCATGGTGATGGGGTGTCCGTTACATGGGGGTTTAAAAATTCACAGCTCAGATTTGTGTATGTCAACACATGTCAATTCAACGCCTGTTAATTTTACCTTTAATAAACTGTACAAAATAAATAATCAGCATAGAGTTGTAGTGGGGGAGGAGAGCTAACAGACATGGCAAATGTTGGTAACTGTGAGAGCTGGATGATGGCTACCTGGGGGCTTCAGTACACCATTCTAGTTAATTTACGTCTTCTTGAAAGTTTCCGTAATAAAAAGAAAACCATTTGTCGATGATCAGCAGGTCCGGGGTTCCTCTGAGATGGGTCCCCCGTTCAGGTGCCAGGGTTGGCATCTATGTCGCTATCAGGTTGATGCCAAGAGGCCCAGCATGGGGTGACAGTCTGGGGTTGGAGTCAGCAGTTCAAATCCCCACTTCCCCACACATGGGCTGAAGTCGGGCAAGTGACTTCACCGCTCTAGGCTTCAGTGTCCTCATCTGTAAAATGGGCACAATCATAGTCCTTATTTTCGCGTACGGCAGTGGAGAGGCTCTCAGGCCTTTAATCCTCAGGTGCAGTAGAGCATTTCGTAAGCGACAGATCCTGTTACACAATCATTTTAGCTGCCGTGTGAATCTTACCTAGCGTGGCAACTCCCAAAGCTTTCCGGCCACAGCACAGTCAGGTTGGACAAAAGTCCCCAGGCCCCAGCTTTTCCACCTGGTGCCTTTTGCCACATTTGGCCCTTGAGCACATTTTGAAGGGTTTACACCCAAGGCAATAGAAATACAAGCAAAAATAAACAAATGGGACCTAATCAAACTTATACGCTTTTGCACAGTAAAGGAAACCATAAACAAAAGGAAAGGACAGCCTATAGCCTGGGAGAAGATACTTGCAAATGATATGACTGACAAGGGCTTAATTTCCAAAATATACAAACAGCTCGTACAACTCAATAACAACAAAACAAACAACCCAATCAAAAAGTGGGCAGAGCACCTAAATAGTCATATCTCCAAAGAAGACATACAAATGGCCAACAGGCACATGAAAAGATGCTCAACATTGCTCATTATTAGAGAAATGCAAATCAAAACTACAGTGAGGTATCACCTCACACCAGTCAGAATGGCCATCGTTAAAAAGTCTACAAATAATAAATGCTGGAGACGGTGTAGAGAAAATGGAACCTTCCTACACTGTTGGTGGGAATGGAAATTGGTGCAGCCACTATGGAGAACAGTACGGAGGCTCCTTAAAAAACTAAGAATGGAGTTACCACATGGAAGGGTTTACATATCATTTGATTGTGCACGTGGTCCGACTTAAACTGCCAGGTACCAGGTCTCCTTGGGTCCTTCCAAACCCCTGTTGTTACCCTATTTGTTAGGTGAGATAAACGAGGCTAAACAGAGTGTTGAATGGGAGACCATGGGCCGCACACAACCAGTGATATGTGCCCCCCGCCCACTCATGCACAGGGCTACCCAGGATCCTGCAGCTCTCAACCTGGCAGACAGAGGGAGCCTTGAAAGACACAAATGAACCCACTAAGAGTGGAAAGACAGAATTTGAATGCTGTCTGGATACTTGATGATACTAAGAAATTGTGATTAAGATTCTAGGTATAACAATGGCATCGTGTTTTTGTTTTTCTGCTTTTTTCCCTTTAGAGTCCTTACCTTTTAGAAATACATCCTAAAATACGTAGGGGTGAAATGATAAAATGTCTGTGATTTACTGCAAAATAATCCAGTTCTGGGAGTTCAGGGGCATACTGACCTGCGCTGTCCCATACGGAAGCCACGAGCCATGTGTGACTACGCGCATTTAAGTTCAAGCTAATGAAATGAAATTAGGGCAGATGACTTGAGTAGTTATTTGTCCAAAGAAGATATACAAATGGCCATAAGCACAGGAAAAGATGATCAATACCACCAATCATTAGGGAAATGCAATCAAAACCACAGATGCTGCCTCACCCCCATTAGAATGGCTACTATCAAAAAACCAAAAATTAACAAGTCTTGCCGAGGACCTGGAGAAACTGGAACCCTGGTGCTCTGTTAGTGGGAACGTAAAATGTTGCAGCTGCTGTGAAAAACACTTTGGCGGTTCCTCAAAAAATTAAAAATAGAATTAGCATATGACCCAGCAAGTCCACTTCTGGATATATACACAAAAGAATTGAAAGCAGGGTCTTGAAGACATATGTATACACCCACGTTCACAGCAACACTATTCACGAGAGCCAAAAGGTAGAAACAACCCAAGTGTCCATCAACAGATGAACGGGGAAGCCAAACGTGGTGTCCATTTACAATGGAGTATCATTCAGGGAGGAAATTCTCATACAGGCAACGGCATGGATGACCTTAAGCTAGGTGAAGTGAGTCAGTGACAAAAAGACAAAGATACCATCTGATTCCACTTATGACGGAGAGACAGGAAGTAGAATGGCAGTTGCCAGGGACTGGGGGCAGGGGAGGAGAAACCGGGAGTTATTGTTTAGTGGGTGCAGACTTTCAGTTCTGCAAGATGCTACAAGTTCTGGAGAAGGATGGGGGTGAAGGTTGCACAACTATGCAAACGCACTTCATGTCGCTGAATCACACACTTCGAAATGGCTGAGATGGTAAGTTTTGTTATGTATATTTTACTGCAATAAACAAATGGGAAAAGAAGGGAACAGTGAGGAATATGAAAGTTTTAAATGAAAAAGATTTACCTTAAAAGTGTAAAGGAAATTAAACATTTAGTTCGCAGTCACGGTGGCGGCATTTCGTGGGCTTGACAGCCACACGTGGCTGGTGGCTACCACACAGGACACCGCAGATCTAGAACATTCCCATGGTGGCAGAAAGCTCTCTTGGACAGCGCTGGTCTGTCAGAGTGGCGGAAAACTGAAAATTGGCAAAGAGTTGGTTGATGGGGTCCACGTTTTACTTATTCTACTTTGTGCACATTTGTGGTTTTCCAAAATGAAAATGTTTTACTTTGAAAATACTTGAACATCAAAAGATCATACGTCTCTCTGAGTTTTTATTGTCTGTCTCCCCCACCAAAATGTCAACCCCCCCAAGGACAGGGATTTTTGTCTGTTTTGTTCCCTGTGGGACACCCAGAGCCTGCACAGAGCATGGCACATGGTAGGGTGTCACTAAATATTTGTGGGGTGAACAAATGAATTTGCACAGGGGGTTAAACAAACCCAATCATTCGTTCAAAGAGCAGCCTGGTGAGAAAGGCATTTACTAATCTCCCGCTCTGTGGCCAGCATGGGGGAGCGCTGAGGATACCGTAACGAACAAAAGCAGACCCAGTCCTTGACTTTGGGGAAGATCATGACTAGTGGTTCTCAACCAGGGGTGACATTAGACGTCCCTCTCCTTCCTCGACACACACATACTCAAAAAGCTTTTGAAAAAGTGACCAGGGGAGGCGGGGGACACACAATGAGCATGCAAAGCTGCAACCCCAAATTACGCACAGGGGAGTGGACGTCTTGCGTCCCTTCAGAGCAGAAGCTTTAAAAGCCATCGCATGGTTCTGCCCAAGTCCTGGCATGACATGGATACGTGGACAGAGCCACAGCCAATGCACGAAGCTCGGACACATGAGCGAGAGAGGAGCCTTTGCTGTTGTCAGCCACTGAGATCCAGGGCTCACTCATTACTGCAAGTCACTCAGCCGAAGCTGACTGATACATCTCGGAAGAGCCCACCCTGTCCCAGTGCTTCCTTGGTATCAGGCCCTGGGCTAACCCCACATCTATTGATTCCTCCCAGTCCCCGGGGAGGCAGGAGGAACGTTTCCCACAGCACAGGAAACTGAGGCTCCCAGGGGTCAGGACACTTGCCCCAAACCACACTGTGAGGCCAGAATTTGAACTCAGACCCTGTGATTCTGAAGAACCTCATTCTCCACCACTGGGCTATAAAAAGCAGGAAAAGCTGGGCTTGCGAAACCACAACCAGCTCAAGAGAACAGCCATGATGCAACAATGACAAAGTGTCCTTCCAGAAAATCGTGTGAATTCCTCCGGCACTTGGAATGCCATTGGAGTTTTGCGTTGTCATCAGGAGTTGTGCAGAAGCCAGGCTGCTGAGCAGGATACAGAATTAAAAGTCCCCGCGAAGCTCCAGAAACAGGCTAATTTTAATTTAGATTTAATTTAATGCTAGTAACCCTCGGGTTATTTGCAAGTCATAAAAATGAAAGTCAACGGAACTCTACCATTTGCTGATGGGAAGTGATAGGTGGAGAAGAGGATGTGGCAAAGTCTAGCTGTTGCTTTTCCAAACACCGTTTCCCCACCCCTCCTCGCCTTGCTCACAGAAGCCTGGTGCTGCTCGGGGTAACCCCTGCCAATTCCAAGATGTAAACAAACGCTGTTCTGAGTCAGTCAGTCTTTTTCAAACTATGGGTCATGCCTTTGAGGGTTGTGAAATCAAATTAGCAGGTTGCGACAAGGAATTTTTTTTTTTAAGTTAAAGAGTATAGGGTCAAATGGAATGGGATAGAATAGAAAATACTAAAAAGCATCACACAGGGTAAGCAAAAGGACCAGTTTGTGATACTGGTTTCAATTATGTGTGTCTCTGTGTGTACATATTTCCTACTGTGGGTTGTGGCCAAAATAGCTTTAAAATAATTGGACGAGGCCAGGGGCACTGCTATCCCCTTTATCAGCCATTCACTTTCCCAGGCTTCCTAGCAGCTAGGCTAGCCATAGTTTTGCAAATCAGTAAAAGCCAAAGTGTACAGAGTGGGGTTCTGCTCAATGAATCTTCTGGGGAAGACAGAATTTGGGGAAGTTTTTCTTCCAGAATATAAAGACAGAGCTTCTCTACAGAGAAAGTCTTTTGCTTCCTGCTTCCAGCTTTGAATACAGTTGAGAAGACTGGAGCTGTGGCAGCTATTTTGCAATCATGAGGCAATAAATCTGAGGCTGATAAGCCTACCTACGGAGGATAACTGATGAGAGGAGAGAAAAAGACTAGGTTCTTAACAACTCCTGATGGGTTGCCTGCCTCCAGACTTCTTAATCCTTACAGTTTAAGCCACTGTTAGGTTTTCCGTTATTTGCAGTCAAACACAACCTGACACAAACGAGTTGGCATTTCTAGACATCTTTGCAGCCCATCACAAGGACTCTCAAAGCCTTCCGTGGGTCAAGGACTGTACTCTGTGAATCCACTGATTGAGAAGAGAGGCCCAGCAAAATGAGAGAGGACTGATGGTAAGGGGATCAGAAAAAAAGTCCACTGGGGCCAAAAACTCTTCTCCCGAGTCCCACTGTTTAGAGCTCCTCCTGTTTATTATCCAACCCTTGAACTTGGGCTGGCCTTTTGACTTGCCTTGGCCAACAGAATATGGTGGAAGTGATGGTGTGCGTTTCTGAGCCTACTCTTTGCCCAGCTGCCATGTGACAAAGTCCAGGCTAGCCTTTTGGAGGACAAGAGACACATGCCCATCACCTCTATCATCCCAGCTCACAGCCAGCCAAACCCTAGAAGCAGAGCCGCCTAGCTGACCTACAGCTGTACACACCCAGGTAAGACAGAAGTAGCCAGAGGTACCCAAGGCCAAATTCCAACCATTAGAATCACCGTTTTGTTTTAATCCACTGTGGCGCATTGTGTTTTCCAAAGATGGCTGAAATAATGTCTCCAACCTCCCATGATCTACCAAAGTGCGATCTTGCCAGTCCTCTTGAATTCAGGAAACTTTGTGCCTACTTCAACCAGGACAGTGCAACAGAAGTGCCACTATGTGACTTCTGAAGCTAGGTCGTAAGAGTCAATTCAGTTTCTGCCATGTCCACCAGGACATTTACCCTGGAAGCCCTAAGCCACCTTAATAGAATTCTGAACGCTCTGAGGCCACCACGCTATGGGGAAGCCTAAGCTAGACACATGGACAGACCATGAGTAGACGCTCTGGTTGATGGTCTTATCTTCAAGTCATCCCAGCCCAGGTGCCATTCATGGCATATGAACAAGCCCTCAGCCCCCAGCCTGTGAGTCTTCCCAGCCAAGACTGCAGACATCATGGAGCAGAGACCCACTATGTCAAATTCCATGTCAAATTCTTGGCCCATAAAACCTGTGAGCATAATACAATTGTTCCATTAAGCTGCTACATTTTGGGGTAATTTGTTAAACAGCAACAGTAACCAGAACAGCCTCTAAAGTTGGGGGTTATTTGTTATGTGGCAGCAGCTAGCTGATACAGCCCTCTCTAGAGACTAAGTACCAACTTTGACCTCACACCTCTGACTCACCCAACTCTTTCTTTTTTTTTTTAAATTAATTCATTTATTTTTGGCTGCATTGGGTCTTCATTGCTGCATGCAGGCTTTCTCTAGTTGCAGCGACGGGGCTATTCTTCGTTGTGGTGCACGTGCTTCTCACTGAGGTGGCTTCTCTTGTTACGGGGCACGGGCTCTAGGTGCACGGGCTTCAGTAGTTGTGGCTCACGGGCTGTAGAGCGCAGGCTCATTAGTTGTGGTGCACGGGTTTAGCTGCTCCGCAGCATGTGGGATCTTCCCAGACCAGGGATTGAACCCATGTTCCCTGCATTGGCAGGTGGATTCTTAACCACTGTGCCACCAGGGAAGTCCCTCACCCAAGTCTTACCCATTCCACCTCCCAAATCTCTCCACTTTATCTCCTCCTCTCCATGACCACTATTCCTGCCCAGATCCAGGCCTCCCCATCTCTCTTTTCATCTATCCATCCAGCCAGACTTTTGGGGAGAGAGAAAGAAAGAGCTATTTGGAGAGCAATTAAAATCGACACCACCTTTATGTTCAGTGACCTTTAGAGTTCTAAAATCCCTGAATTAGTTTAACAACATAAAAGCGTGCCCTGTAAAACCTGGATTGCTCATAAAGCAACTGGTGTCTAGCTCCTAAAAGCCTTGTTTACACAGGTAGTCACACACTAGAAATGTTTGGTATGTTCTCTCTCTTCCCTTTTCGCCATTCACCGCTCTCCTAAATGCAGCTGTAAAGCCACAGTCTTGCCGAGAAAATCAGGGATCCGAAAAGGTTTTTGAATTTTTTCTTAATACGAGTGTATAAAAAACAGGGGGAAATTCTGAGGAGTGAATCAGGTAACGGGGTGGGGTGAAGGGAACAAGAGCAGGGATTACACTGACCGGACACAGGGCTGCCCAGGGCATCAAGCGAAAGAGAACACTTCAAGTTCAGGAAAAAATGGAGTTAGGGGTAGTGAAGGGGAAAGAAAAGTCCCTACAACATTCCACACATGCTTTAGAACACTTGTTCCTAAACGTGGGCAGGCAGAATCACCTGGAAGGCTTTTAAAATAAAGAATGAAAAGAATGGATTTCAGAATCAGCAAGTTGGGGGCAGGGGCGGTGGGGGGGAGGGGCTGCTGAAAATGTGCATTTCTCACAAGTTCCCAGGTGATGCTGATGCTGCTGGTCCAAGGACCACTGCTCTAGAAGCTTTTGTCTCTTTAGTTTTCCTTCTGGGGCTCTTGCTCTTGTACAGAACACAAGCCACCAGTTCCTAGCCAGTGTCCAGGCCCCTGACAATGTGGCCTCACGGGGTCCTCTCCGAGGCTCAGGAGGGTCCAACATCCAGTCTCAGTCTGATATCCTTTTAAACAGAACTTGGATTTGGTTCCATTCAGCAATGTACCCTCCTAAGAGGATGACTCACGGTGAGTATAGGCCTTTTGCCCCTTTGCCAGAAACTTCCTTTCTCGGCCTCCTTTGCAGCCAAGTGTGGACACGGGAAGATTTTTACATTTGGATAAAAAAGACAGAGGCTTACACTGGGAAGAATTATTTGCCCCTACTCTTTCCTGCTTGAGAGAATGATGTGAAGCATGGTGACAATGGCCAGTGCTACAGCAGCCGTTTTGTACTCCTGAGGGGGAAGGCCCAGTGGATCAGAGACAGACCCAGCGTCCTGGCAACACTGAGTTGCCAAATATCCCTGGCATGGCCTTCAACTAGATGTTTTGTTCCAGAAGAGAACTAAAAGCCTGAATTAACTAAGGTTAAACATATACCTACTCTATGACCCAGAAATTCCACTCCAAGGTATTGACTTAACGGATGTGAAAAGTATGTCTACAGAAACATTTGTACAGAAATTTTCATAGCAGGATTATTCACAAAAGCCCCAAATCGGACACAGCACAGTGTCCATCGACTGGTAGATGGAGAAACAAACTATGTTATATCCACGCACTTGAATACAGTTTAATAATGAAAGGGAATAAACTACTGATACAGGCAAGGTCATGGATGAATCTCAAATCCATCATGATGAGGAAAGGAAGCCAGACACAGAAGACCATTCACTGTGCGATCCCCTTGAAGTAAAGTTCTAGTGAAACTGATGGGGAAAAAAATCGGAGGTGTGATTGCCTTAAGGGGGCAGCAGGAGGGGGAGAGGGCTAAGTACTGACTAGGAAGATCCACGAGGAAATCTTCTGTGATGATGGAAATGGTCTGTAGCTAGATCTGGGTGATGGTTACATAGGTAATATTTGCCAAAATTCATCAGGCAGCGCACTTAAGGTTTGTGCCTTTTATTATACTTAATTTGTATCCCGGTGAAGCACAGCTTAAAAAAACAAAAAACAAAGAAAACCCTACACAACCAACTCTTGTGATTCATGGCAGTTATGTTCTACGAAGTTGCCACAAACACTGAATTAGAGAATAAGGAACTATTGCTCCTGGGGGAAATACAGCTTCTCATGAGCCTCTGGTCCCAACATTTTCATCAACCGATCAATACATAACCTTGTTTTTAACGTGTGTTTCTGTTTAAAGACACCTGATTTAATATATACGGCGGATTCATTCACAGCGAACCCATAACCGACGGCGCTGTAACTCACACCTGAACGAAGCTCATCTGAGACACATCACAGCCTTCTGCAGCTCAGGAACACTAGCCAACACTTCAGCACAATGTTTGGGGGGCATTTTAAACAGCTAAATCAGCAACCAAAAGCCCCAAAATGTGAAAAACGCGGCACTAAACAGACCAAGAAAAAGCCACTTGGCTACAGTGTACGAGCTGAAACAAGAAGACAGAGGATCGCCCTGGTCCATCTCAGCTGGGAACAGGCACGCAGGACGACGCAAATTTTTCACCTGCTCTGCACGTCTGTAAATGACTGGGAAAGCACCCGGTGTGCTGATCTGGGGGTTACAAAGAAATTTTGGCAGGTAGATGAATTCACAAATATGGCATGTGGGAACGAGAATCAACTGTACAGGGAAATACTGGTCAAGATTATAGCACATTTATTTACCCTTTACCCGGAGGTTTCACTCATGGGCCTGATCCTACAGGTACAACCTGACATATCCAAAATTATACATTTAGGAGGTTTTTAGGGCAAGGTGTGTGTCTACCAGCGAGATATTGGAAGTAATCCACTGGCCATCAGTGGAAAACAGGTTAACTAAACTGGGTCCATCTACATGGGAATACTATACAGCTGTAAAAAAAGAATGAAGGATGCAAATGGCCAACAAGCCCATGGAGAGATGCTCAACACCATTAGCCACCAGGGAAATGCAAATCGAAACCACAAGTGGAGACTGCTTCACACACTAGGATGGCTACAACCAAAAAGACAGACAATAATGAGTGCTGGTGAGGATGTGTAGAAAGCAGAACCCTCAGACACCGCTGGTGGGAATGGAGAATGGCGGGGCCTCAGTGGAAAGCAGTCTGCGAAACTCCCCAAACAGTTAAACACCGTTACCACGAGACCCAGCAATTTCACTCCTACATAGATACCCAAGAGAAATGAATACATGCATTCACACAAAAACTTGTACACAAATGTCCATAGCGGCATTATTCGTAATAGCCAAAAGGTTGAAATAACTCAGACGTCCACCAATGGGTGCACGGACCCACAAAACGTGGTCTCTCGGTATGGTGGGACATTACTCGGACATCAAAAGGAACGAGGCACTGATACACCACAGTACAACACGGATGATCCTTGAAAGCATCATGCTGAGTGGAAGAAGCCAGACACAAAGGACCATATATTGTACGATCCCATTTTATGAACTGTCCAGAACAGACAAATCCACAGAGACAGAAAGATTAGGGGTTGCCAGAGGCTGTGGAGAGAGAGGAATTTGAAGTGGCTGTTCTTGGGCACAAATTTTTTTTTTTAGGGGGGGGGGGAGGTGATAAAAATGTTCTGAAACTAGATAGAGGTGATGGTTGCACATTATATAATCTTGAATATATAACCTGTGAATATTCTAGAAAGTGCTGAATTGTATACTTTAGATGGGTGAATTTCATGGTATGTGAATTATATGTTAATAAAGACGTTATTTTTATTTTTTTGCAGTACGCGGGCCTCTCACTGTTGTGGCCTCTCCCGTTGCGGACCACAGGCTCCGGACGCGCAGGCTCAACGGCCATGCATGGCTCACGGGCCCAGCCGCTCCGCGGCATGTGGGATCTTCCCGGACCGGGGCAGGAACCCGTGTCCCCTGCATCGGCAGACGGACTCTCAACCACTGCGCCACCAGGGAAGCCCCAAAGACGTTATTTTTAAAAAAGGAACAAGGATGTTCTCCATATACTGACAGAGAAAGTTCTCCACGACTATTGTTCTGTGCGGGAAGTAAAATGCAGAACAGTGTGTATAAAACGTCACCATCCGCATAAAGACAGTGGGGAGGAGATACAAGAATATATATTCTAGTAAATCAACTATACATCCACTTAGGAAAAAAAAAGACTATATATCCTAAATGCCTTTCTAGGTCTAAAGAACTTCCAGAAGGATCTCTACAGCACAAAACCCACTTATGAACTAGGAGGGGGACCCAGCAGATGGGACAAAGATGGGATGGAGACACTCCACTGCAAATTTTTCAAAAATAGTTTTTGGTTTTTCAGCCAACGTCCTAACCATTCCAAAAAGCAAAAGTTTTTTTTTAATTTGGTTTTTTTTTTTTTTTTTTTTTTTGGCCATGCCCCGAGGCTTGCGGGATCTTTGTTCCCTGACCAGGGATTGAACACGGGCCACAGCAGTGAAGGCTCCAAGTCCTAACCACTGGACCACCAGGGAATTCCCCAAAAAGTACATTTTTAAAAATGTGTTAAAAAAAAATAAGAGGACAGTTTCCGCCATCACTCATCAGCGTAAACTGTTACTTGCAGCCGCATGCACACAAACTAAAAAGCTATTCAGTGGTAAAAGGAAGCACTGGGATTTGAACCCAGACTTCGGGACACCAAATCCTTGGACTGCCTTCCAGGACACCCCACTGCCTCATTTCCAGTGTCCAGGAAAATGCTGCGAAACTG